CCACCACCACCACCACCACCACCAGCACAACAACAGAATTACAACCCGCGAAATAAATAAACAAATCCTATGAGGCTGACCAGGGCCTTGAGGCTGTCTTGTGGAGGTCGACCAGCCTACATCCTTTAAAAGCCAATGACCCCTGACCTCTGACCTCCGGGACCGACAGCTTACAGGAGGGTCACAGTGATTGGTGTCCAGTGTTGTGTCCTCGCCTCACCCCACTACTCAACTCCGTGTTATGTCTCTCTGTTGTGTTTAGTGAGTCTTGTTTGTTTGTGTGTGTGTGTGTGTGTGGTGTGTGTGTGTGTGTGTGTGTGTGTGTGTGTGTGTGTATGTGGTGTGTGTGTGTACAAGTTCAGTGGTTTACAGCTGGCATGACACCGATTTTTCAGACCCACAGAGGAAATATAAATGTATTGTCACACACACACACACACACACACACACACACACACACACACACACACACACACACACACACACACACACACACACACACACACACACACACACACACACTGTTGCTGCCTGGGGTCATTATGTCGACCCTTCCCACCGCCCTTCCCTCAAATCCGTCCCACCACAGAGAGACCAGTCGGGGGATTGATGATGTATCACTCCACGATTGATTCAGAAATTAAAAATTGATGAAAATAGTGTAGAACAGTGGATACATCAACCAGTGGTACAAAAGTCACGGCCGATGTCTATTCAATTGGGGTCTCACGTCAACACAACCATGTGGGAACAGCAGAGGGTTGTCTTGACCATACAAAGTGAGGTCTGAAAACATGGTGTGAAAAGTCCAGCTGACAGGTTAGAACTGCCGCTTCTGTGTCTTCGGGTCAAGAGAGACAATGGATGGAAGTGTCACAGTGCTATTATAAGCCACCCATCATGGTCACTCGGTACAGATCTGCTGCACCGTCCTCACGACCCGCCATCTTGGATCGGATCCCTGTCCACGTGCAGCTGTTCCAACACCGCAGCTATATCACGGCTACAGCACCAGCCACCCTACTGTAGTTACTGTAACTTGTATGTTTAATCGATGTTTTTCTCCTTTTTGTAATGAAAGCTTTTGTTAAGTGACCCACCACTTCCCGATGTTATCTTACGTAATCTATGATGTCTTTGTTTATTGTTTATGTTCAACCTTTGGCTAATATCTTCTCTTAATAAACAGTTAATCATTATTATTATTATTACACACAAAAACATTCACAAGAGATACCCATTATTATATGTGGCATTTTCAAACGCTCTTACGTCAAAAAATCCTCGTAACTGGAGACAAAAGAAAGTATTCAACTGTCCGACTTAACCTAGAGCACACAATGACTCGGAGATACGACGAGAACAGGACACGTTCTATTCTTACAAGGAGAGAGATGACGCTGAGAACTCCTGAGAGGCCACACACAAGGCTGCAAGGAAACGAGGCAAAATCAGAGAGAGACGCACACAGTTCCGGGAAGACGCCACCAACACCCAGCGACGCACAAGGTTGCTACAGCCAACCTGCCCAGCCCGAGAGGGAAAGAGGGTAGCAACGTCCTCTCCTCTACCTACAACATTTGTAATCCTCATATCCTGGCAACTAACTCCCTTCGCTTCTCATCTTACCAGAAGCTCTCTCTCTCTCTCTCTCTCTCTCTCTCTCTCTCTCCACCACACACACACACACACACACACACACACACACACACACACACACACACACACACACACACACACACACACACACAGCAGCTGAAAAAAAAGGTTCCACATTTTACAATCACGAAAATTCTATATCGACACGACTTACAGGAGACAAGCTATAAAACACCGTGTAGAGCGATAGTCACCCATCCGTGTTATTAATGTTACTCGCTCACTCACTCACTCACTCACTCACTCACTCAGTCTCACTCACTCACTCAGTCTCACTCACTCACAAAAATAATTGGACCAACACACAAAGCATTTCAAAACATCCTCAAACGCCTTTAATTTTTGGATATCCTTTGACCAGACATCACCAAGGTTAGGTTATTACACAGAGTTATGAAGGGTGGTTAATACTGAGTCATAGCTGGAGTCACTGTTATTTTTTTTACATTAACTTAATATCCTTGGCACTGCACCGATATCCCACCTGAGACTGACTCCCTCAACCGCGTAAAAGTCTACGGTAACCACGCGCCACATTTAACTAAGTTGGTTCCTATCATGCGTTGAAATTCTTCTGTGATGAATTTAAGCCTTTAAGGACGATGATTTAAGCCTTTGAGGACGATGATTTAAGGCTTTGAGGACGATGATTTAAGCCTTGAGGACGATGATTTAAGGCTTTGAGGACGATGATTTAAGCCTTGAGGACGATGATTTAAGCCTTGAGGACGATCTTTTAAGGCTTTGAGGACGATGATTTAAGGCTTTGAGGACGATGATTTAAGCCTTGAGGACGATGAATTAACCCCTTGAGGATGATGATTTAACTCTATTGAGGACGATGACTTAACTCCTTCACTACAATGTCATCTTCACTCTAGGAATTAAATCATTGTACTCAAGGGATTATTGTTGTACTCATTTGGTTAACCATTACACTTATGAGTTAAGATATCGTCCTCATTGAGTTAATTCACTGTACTCAGGGGTTGAGATCGCACTCAACAGGGTTAATAAATCTTACTCAAGTGGCTAGTTCATTATACTCAGCGAACAGGCATCGTACTCAAAGGATTACAGCAATTCACTCACCTGGCAAACTCACTGTACTCACCGAACAAGAATCGTATTCAAGGGATTACAACAATTCACTCACTTGGCTAACTCATGGCACTCAGCGGATTAGCATCGTACTCAAAATGGTTAAAACATCTTACATGACTCATTCACTATACAGTACTCAAGGGATTAATGTATAACAAATGAAAAACGTTGGTTAAATAAGGGTAATACTGTCCAAACTAAACTAAAATAAAATTCATTTAATTACACAGTTTATAAATGAAATTCCGTTCCCCAAAACTAGACAATTCCTACTACAAGAATCCGACAATTCCCATTCCAAGGTCAATGTAAAACGCGATCCCATTCCAGATGAATTTTCCTTCACGGTTCAGGGGATTCATTCCAAGGGACAGGTTTAACTCATTCCAGGGACCAAATCTAACTTATTCCAAGGGCCAGATCTAACCTATTCCAAGGGCCAGGTTTAACTCATTCCAAGGGCCAGAACTAACTCATTCCTTATTGCCCATATTCCAAGAGTCAGATAATTCCAGTTCCAGGATCCGGGTCAGGTAGACACTTCCGGTATGTGGCAGTAACCAGGGAGACGGCGACCTTTTCGTTAAGTCTTCCGCCACGGCTTCATCACCCCCCCACACATATACTCCCCCATTCCCACAACCCCCACTCCCCTGACCCCACTCCCGCAACCCCTCACTCCTCATAAACCCCCACTCCCATAAAACCCACTCCTAGCCCCACTCCCACCAACCCCCCCCACTCCAATAGCCCCCCCACTTACATAACCCCTCCCCACTCTCATAAACCCCACTCCCATAATCCCCCTCCTGCCCCACTCCAACAACAACCCCGACTTCCAACAACCCCCCCCACTCCCAATAACCCCCCCACTCCCACCTTCCCCTCCCTAGCCCCCCACTCACCAACCCTCCACTCCACCAACCCCCACCCATAACCCCCACTCCCTGCCCCACTCAATAACCCCCACTCCAATAACCCCATCATAACCCCCCCTCCCATGTATCCCATAACTC